TATTTTCATTCTCGTTCGCTTCTCTTGAGTGTAAAATATACAATTATCATTATCTTACGTGTTACAATTAGAACCCAACGCCGTGTAAAGCCACATGTATTATTTCGCTTTAATCTCAAGATGGTTTTAATCTTGGATTTAAATCGGATGTAATCTCGTAATACGGTTGTCGTAATGGCGCAGTTTTATAGTAGGCTTGCTGGGCGCGCCGACAATATCATTAATGTTCTTTGTAAACGAGCGGCGGCAAATTAAGTATTTAAACAAAGCACAATCAGTTTCAAAAGCAAAGGTCTCATTGTTAAGTAACAATGTATAATAAACAGCGAATTCGATTCCTAACCTGGCATGTGTATAATTTTTTTTATTGTACCCCGTATGGAGTAAATATGTTACAGGCATGGGGCATTTCTATCTTTTTTTCTGATTTTAATGGAATGTGACATACCCTAGCCAACACATCAACACAGCGCTGCCTATTTTGACTTTGCCTATCTGACTAGTTCCAAAAATTCTTTTTTTAAGCTTAATCTTCACTAATATTATAAAGCGGTGTTTGTTTGAACGCATTAATCTCAAAAACTTGCTTTAACGATTTTAAGGCAAAACATCAGGGTGCGACCAATAACAGCAAATTTTTCTTTAAGGGCCGTTATGTTTGTTGAGAAAACGCTTTAAGAAACAAAATAAAATATGTATAAAAGAATGATTCCTCTTTAAATGATCTCAAAATATGTCCCCGATAGTATATGTCTATCTTTTAGGAAGGCTCTAATTTTTGAAAACTTTATTATTTTTTTCATGTTATTGCACATGAAGGCAGGTATTTAAAAATCAACTAGCAGATATTTTGCATATAAATAAAAAAAAGTTTATTCATCAGTCTGTAAATACAGCTAAGTTAAAAAACTAAATTAAAATATTTAATCTTAAATTTCATAATACATACAACAAACAAAAAGAAAATTAGCAAAGAGTGTGTTTTATGTGTGATCTAAATTAAGATGTAAACTAATGCTAAATGTATGGCGGAAGTTGTCATAAATGGTTGAGAGGTGCATGTATCGATAAGTTGAAAAAATTCGACGATGAGGTGTAGGACTCGGTAGCTCAATTGGTAAAGCAACTGCACGGAACGCTGACGATGCCGGTTCATTATAGGCTGATTATTACGTTGATTGCGAAATACATTTTGATGCCAAAATAACAATTCCACGCAGACGAAGTCGCAGGCAAGCTGTGACAAACCTATAAACTAATAATTAAAAATGTTGTCAATATCACATTAATTAAAATATATTTATTTACTGGATACTATATCAGCAAATAACCATATTTGTTCTATATAATATACTCCACAAAGAGCCCTGTATTGTTTCATACAAGTCAGGAGAGTTACATACAAACATTATAGTCGCCCGTTTAGGCTAACCAAAACTAAAGTACGTGTATATAGAAGATTAAGATACTGCACTCAACTCTATTTGACCTCGTTTGATATCAAGATCTTTTGTTTTTTGCCGTTTATATAAAAACGTATGACGAATAAAAGTGAAAAACATTCACCATATGACATTTTTTATTTTGTAGTCTTTGATAACTGTTACCTTATCCCTCGGAAGGTCAAGTAGATGCAACGTCCGTGGGCTCGGGGATAGAAATCGGTGAGTTCGTATGTTCTGTGGACCCTACGACATCAAAAAGGAAGCAAGGCTTAAAATTACGTTTTTAAACGTACTTATTAAATACTGTCTGTAGTTTAAACAAAACACTTTAACGGTTAAAACGTGATATATATGCCGTGGTCACAGTGAGACCAAGGCTGCTGCAGAGCATCCGAAACGTCGGGTTGTAGTTACAAATAATTCCAAATAAGTTTAACTAATATATATTGCCTTTTAAACCATTAAAGTGTTCTACTTAAACATCCATATTTTTAAAAGTCACTGCGTTACGTTATGCAAGTAACTACTAATAATGATAAAAGTAATAATTGGAACTACATTATATTTTAAAAATAGTAAAGTTTTCCTGTGTTATTAGAAAATAAAGTCCATTTTTTATTTATTTCAGACTCATCAATTTATATTATTATGGGTTCTTGAAGAATAAATGCAACCGACCATTCATCACGAAAGCCAACATTTTAAAGGAAACTTCAACAATTTAAAACCTGGTAACCCCGGATAATAAATCAATGTTGCCAGTGCAGCGTTGTAAACGTCGCTGAACCGTTAAATCAAAGGCTCGGTTGATGAATGGCAATACCAACAGACAGGGACAATCATTACATTGATGCTATCTACACTATTGCTTGATTGATATACGTAACTTGATGTACTCTGATTGATAGAACACTAGTGACTGATGGATGTATAAGATAATTACTATAAGTTAAATTATTTTTACTGAATAATTTTATCCCATTTAAATAAAACACTTTAACGGTTTAAAACGCGATATATTAGTTAAACTATTTGAAAATGATAATTTTTTTTTTTAAACTCTGGATCCCAATAAACAGCATACGGGCAAACGCGAAGACACCGTCAGTAAATTCTGCAAGGACCCGGCCAGTTTTGCCAAAAACCAACTTCGACGGCACAGATGGCGCTAGCGTAGCAATTTTTTACTTTGACGTCAGAGACATCCTCCATCTTTAGTCTCCCCATGACCACGGCTGCTGCAAAGCATCCGAAACGTCGGGCCGAAGTTAAAAATCTTTTTCAAATAGTTTAACTAATATATAGCGTTTTAAACCGTTAAAGTGTTTTATTTAAATGTGTACTACTCGCGTAAACTATAGACAGTATTTAATTTTATCCCAGCCTACTGCTAAGCATAAGATTCTTATCCCATGCCTTTAGAACGTGGTGGGGATGCTGTACAGTGAGGATATCCGACGATTGACGAGCTTGTTGGTATAATGATAACAATATATGATATCTATGATCAATGGGTCGTAGGTTGTACCTCTACGAGTGCCACATTTTTCTTTTCTTTTTTTTTTATCAATTTATATTTTTTCTGAAACATGTTGGACTTTGTCTGTAGGTCTGGATATTAAACACGTGGTAGAAATATCTTAATCATATATATAAAAAGACCGTCAAGTTTAATCGAGTTTCGGTTTCAGACTGTGAATTTCCGAATATCCAAAACCAAAACAGGTCGAAAATGCGTCGTCTTAAATGTTATATGGCTGGGGTATTTTACCTTCCATCAATTGAACCCAACCTCCTCCCCCTCTGGCATAAAAATGATCACCGTTACTATACATTTTTAACCAATCTTACAAGTTAAATCTGTCTGTAACAAAATAGTCCGGCAGTTTCTTTTTTCAATATCAATATCAAACTTAAAAATTAAAAAAAAACCGACTCGAGCAGGTGTTGCTCAACCAATTGAGCTACCGAGTCTGGGAGCAACAGCACGGAACGCTAACGATGCCGGTTCAAGTCCTGCTCGAGTCGAAATTTTTCTCAATTTATTTTAAATTATATAGTGCCTTCATGTGCAATAACATGTTACAAATAATAAAGTTTTTAATATCAAAGTTGCATTTGATTCGATCTGGATTTTGTAATATTATCATATATAGGTATATCAACCAGTAGATCAAAGTATTTATATTTTTAATGGTTATTTTGAGTAAAATTGTGATATACACTTAAGTCGGTAAGATGAAATTAAACCGTAAATGTACATACCTGCTTTTTGAAAAGCATATAAAACGAAAAACATATTTTCAGTATTAAAGAGCGTTTATTTCGTTCGCCGTTAACTATCCACTTAGCTGATTGAACTTTTCAACTGCACCGGAACTATTATCAGAAAAATGAAAATTCGTCCACTATTTTCCTATTGCTTAGATAACTTTATACGAGTCCATACCATACATATTCTTATGTTACGATAGAAAGGCTGACAATGAAACCCAAGTAGAGTACTTGTTTAAAACAGGCAGTGGAGACGTTTTTTTTATGATAGAGGACGACCGGCGAGCATGGGGTAGATGAAATACCCCGCCTAGGGGAACAAAACAAAAGTTGTGTGCGGATCCGTAAAACGGACACACAAATGTATTCGTCGCACGCCCTACGAGGGGGAAACGGGATTTCATACTTTATAACATCTCAACAAGATGCCCTGTAGTTTGGCTTTGGATATTCGGAAATCCACAGACTAAAAGCGAAACGTTATTAAAATTTACAGCTCTTGTATCTGTGGACAGTGGTTCGTGACAAGGACGGAATTTACAGACGAAATCTAAGATGTTTCAGAATAAAAATAAATTGAAAAATGTCGATTGAACCAACGACCCGTTGATTAGTAACCTTACATTGCTACCATTACAACAGCGAGACCGTCAACCATTATCTTCTTGTTCTTGTTGAAAGCACTTAGACTTTTATTAAATTACTTTTGAAAATTTGTACACTCTGGAATGCGTATTTCACTAGTGGCTGTTGTTAGCGAAATGTCTCATTCGCTTTATTTTACACTGTTAATTCGAGAGTCGCAACGGATATTGTAACATCTATTGTTACAACATCCTACTTTTATCGTCAGTAATAGAACTGTAAAAATGTCCTTATATTATTACTAATCGCTTATGACAACCTCCGTCAAACAGTCAGACATTTGATACAATTAGCATAAGTTTACATCTAAAATTTGATTACCCATAGAATACACTGTTTGCTATTTTTTTTAAGCAGTGTCTTGTATGTTTAGTAAAATTTAAGATTACATTTTGTAATTATGTTTTAAATTAGCTTTATTTATACGCAAAATATCTGCTAGTCCTAGCCTAAAACACTCTCTTACTCTTGTAAATTTGCGTTAGAAAAAAACAATTGAGAAATTCCTGAGAAAAGAATAACCCAATTTTCATATCATCCATCATTCATGTTCAATTACTATCGTCTAAAAGCACTAAAATAATGGAACAAAAATGAAATATTACTGTCGTATTTCTGAGAATAATATTCAAGATAATGTATCGGGGTAAATGTGATCCTTCAGGCTACGAGCAATCTTTCTCCATTAGTCTATATAAAAATTCGTTAAATCACAATTAGTGCGGTGCCACTCCTGCCTCGTCTGTTATATACGACTTTTGGGGTGGATCTAAGGCGGTTATAAGTAAGCGAATTAAATAAAAATATTATTTTCAATGTTCAAGTCGTGCCATCGACTTTTCTATTAAAATAGCTTATGACTAGAAATAAAACGATAATAGAAATAAATAACTAGGGAAAATCAAATCATTAAATCAAACTTATATAACGCTAAAAAGCAGAGGTGAATGAATCTTTAAAAAGCCAAAGTTTGAAGTTTTTTCGTATATCGTCGTGGTAGTGTAGATTTCCGAATATCCTAAGCCAAAATAGATCGACAGCACATCTATTTGAGATTTTATAGGCTTATTTCATCTACCAACAAGTGTACCTCATGCTTGCCCACCCTCTATCTTTAAAAAGAAGATGAAAATAAACCCGACGAGTTGATCGTGGTAGCTCATAGATAGACTAGAGCAACAACGAAAGACTTGTAAATTTAAAAAAATCAAGCTTTTTATTTATATTAAACTATCGCTTTATACATTATATATTCTAGATCCTCCTCTTCTACTTTACTTCTATGCTCGATAAAATAAGAAGCCCCATGTGCAACCCGCCTTAGGGCGCGTGATTGATTGAACACAACAGTTTGGGACGCGTCTCTAGCTGCCGACTTGACTGGCATACGTTATTAAAGTTTGAGAACATCTAATTGCAACCCCAAGTTTACGTAAACTTCCCATAGTTATATATTTCTATCTAGAACTTGTTCGAGCACCCATTAGATCCATATTTGAGATTCTAATCATTCGTAAAATATGGATATCCATTACCGAATGTTAAAATAATTTCAAAATACAGATTTATAAGTAATTTTCTCAAGATTTTTTTGCTTATGTAATTGAGACACAAGGTTAATATGATATTATTTACTACACATTTATGCACTTTCATCATGTGCCCGCTACTTCGTTCGCGTGGAATAGAAACTTGGGGTAGAATTTTTAATTATATAGCCTGTATCATAATTTTTGTAATTGCACATTTATCGCAGCCAATCTATGTTGTAAGTGCTACTTTGACGCAACACTCTCACCTCACATCACTCCTACTCTAACTCCCACTCTCACTCCCACTCCCACTCCCCACACCTATTCCCAAAAAGCCAAAGAAGAAAGTTTCATTGTTCTAGCTTCAAAAGCTACGAATTTCCATACACACTTTCACCCCCCCTTTTTAACCCCGTACAACCCCCTTTTTGCAATAAAAATGTCCTTTCTCAGATTCTAGACCATATGTGTACCAAATTTTATTCAAATCCGTTCAGTAGTTTTGACGTGAAAGAGTAACAAACAGACAGACAGAGTTACTTTCGCATTTATAATATTAGTAAGCATATCTATACCGGCATCATCTGTCATTACATTCGCAGTGAAATGCAAAAACAAATGAAGTGAAATATTAAATAGAAGAGAAAAAATAAAAACCAAAGTTGTATGGCACACAAAAATATGTAAATTGATGTTTGTTATATGGAAAGATAGATGTTTTATTTTTAACTTTTCTTGTTTCAGACTCGGAGCTGGTTTTCAGGGACAGATGGGGCGGGTTGACACTCTTCAACGTTAAGAACTTTACCACTAGGCTTCTCATGAACAACTCTACGTTTGTAAGTCTTTCAATTTATTTATCTAACAAAGTGTTACAATATTTCAAACTTTAATTAGAAATAGTTAAAGGCAATTCTAATTCAAAATACGTTAAGTCTGTAGTTAACGCGAGTAGCACACATTTAATTAAAATTATTTTAAAGGTTTAAAACGTAAAATTTGTTAGTTAATTCTTTACAATTTATTCTAACTACGACTCGTCGTTTCGGATGCTTTGCTGCGGTGGTCACGGGGAGACTGAAGATGGAGGGTGTCCCTAAGTGGCGCTAGTGAGGCAGCCTTGACGTTGATGTTAGGTAGTTAAAATAAAATGTAAATAAGTTAACATAATTGAAAATAAATTGAAAAAATTTTCGACTCTGCAAGAGCAAGAAAATTTTTTCAATTTATTCGATTTTTAAATTATATAGTGCCTGTAAAAAATAATAAAGTTTTCAAATAAGTTAACAGTTCGCGTTTTAAAGCGTTAAAAATATTTTATTAAAATACGTTTTTATTGTTTAACAAAGAATCTTTTTAAAGTGAAATCTTTCGTGAGTACTACAATGTCGTATTTATTATGTTATTCTTGTTTTTATTATAGCGCAGAAAGGGTCACACTCCAATATAAAATGAAATTTTTATATAAATAAAATTAATAATTATAATCTTTTATTCTAAGAGTCGGACAGTTTCATTTAAAATTGTAATGCAGGGGACATATGTATATCAAGTTATATTAATAGTGGCTACTTTGCCTTATCCCAAAAAAGTATCCTCGCCACTCTCCTCTTCATCTAATAAAGAGGAGGATATTAAGTAATGATGTGAAATATGTCTTCAATGTATCTCCAGTGCCATTTGTGAACTGTAAGGTAACCGCTTTGTATTCAGGTATTGCAAAGAAATAATATTATCTCAAAGAATCTAGACAGATTCTTATAAACCGTGGAAGTTTATTATATTCGTAGTTTATGAAAACGTGGTTTGGAATTGAAAATTCATTGCATACGATTTCTGCATTGAACAGTGTTTTCAGAGAACGGAACCTGCATAATATATTAGTAAAATATATTAGAAGGTCGATAAATTATATAAAATTTTAAAGAAAAGGTTTTATTGCTCAATCTTGGTATGTTGCTAAGCATTTTATTTCTCGGCAAGTAGATGACACTTGCCGATGGTAATTAAAATTTAGAACACCTTACGGAAAAATAATTGTTGGGCAAAACGTTATTTTTTTGCTAAATATAGATACAAATACGGAACGATATTTAAATCCAAATCTTAAAATGAAAAAAGAAAAATATTACAACAAACGACCAAGTATTTTGGCAAGATAAACTTTAGTTTTGTAAGCGATCGCTAAAAATCCGCGTTTAATAAATAAAATTACTATAATAAATTAAGGCTTTCATGGTCATCGTTCAGCATAGTTTTCGGGCTGTTCGGCCTACGTGAGCGAGAAGAGTTTCTCGACGTTTCGTCATCACGTGCGGACGGCATCATCAGATGTTAAATTGGATTGCTGGAAGAATTAGCAATTTAATTAATTCTTCGAGCAGTCGAGTTCAATGATATGTTGAAATTACTATACTCCTTAGCCGAAACGTCATATAAAATACATTATACATATATGAATATCTTAATTTAAAAAAACAATCGTAATTTTAAGTTGCCCAAATTATTGTTTAATTCGTGCAAATATTGAACCACTTTATGTTACCGTTCAACTATTTACATTTACGGCTTATAGCTATTTAGGTAATGTTATGGTGCATTACAGCAAATGGCAGCGCACGTGCTCGTTATGCTGATGTCTCTAATGATTTGAGGCTTGGGACCTGTTTAATGCACAACATGTTTTCTTAACACCTTTTAACAGATTACATAGCAATATTTTAGAAATTTAGTTCTCATGCAGGTACAATAAATGGTACGTCCATAATAAATGACCGTCATCTTTTTCTTACAAAAGAGTCATTATACATAAAAGTAAAACCCGAAGTAATAAAAACTTCCGAAAGTTTCCTCAATTATATTAAATTGCTTCATTAGTTCAATTTCTTTAGCTTTAGCCCTATATACAAGTTTTCTGGTAATAAATACTATAATCATATGCTATAAAATAATAAAAGCCAAAAAGGGTCGACAGCGCATCTTGTTAAAATTTATATGGCTATCGTGTATTTCACCTTCCATTAAATGAACCGCGTGTTTTCTGTCCTCTTCTACCATCACAACAAAACGCTGACAACTCCTGTAACTGCTTCATAACTAACGTTTCTCATACTTCCCTGCACTGCTGGACCGAATTATTATTTTCCCCCTGGCGCGCCAATGAGACTGTTATGTATATATAATAAAGTGAAATATTAAGTTAAATATTTCTAATTGCCTTTTTGATATAATGTTTGAATAGCGGAATAAATACTTCTTAAGGCGGGAATATGGCGTTTACTGTGAGAGACGGCTGACCTCATTAGACCCCACTTAACATTGTTACGGTTATCTTTGATAGTTAATATTAATATATAAGATATTATTATTGTCAGAAATAACGTATTTTCCAATACATTACTATATTGTAATATCTTCAATTGATCTGAAATGAGATAAAACATTTAAATAAAACACTTTAACGGTTTAAAACGCGATATATTAGTTAAACTTATTTAGAAATAATTTTTAACTTCGGGCCGACGTTTCGGATGCTTCGCAGCAGCCGTGACCACGGCACAAAAAATCATTTCTAAATAAGTTTAACTAATATATCGCGTTTTAAACCGTTAAAGTGTTTTATTTAAATGTGTACTACGCGCGTAAACTATATTTGACAGTATTTGAGATAAAACACTTTTTATAGGTTGAAACCGAAAACTTATTACTTATTTAAAATTTATTTAACTGCGGCAGTTCGCGGGTAGACAGCCACGTTTCGCTACATGTAAATAAGTTAACCAATACATAAACATAAACGACTGGACCGATTTTTATAAGCTGGCGTTTGTTTATCTAGCACGTTAACCATTTTTAGGATTTAATGCAAACCTTCTTAGAATTTAAAGGAATATGCAAAATGGAATCTAGTCAAGTAAAATCGCTTTGAAAAGTTTTATTTTCACAGCTTTAGTTCTCTTCGAAATAAATTGTTCACTCTCCGCGAAAAAGTATAAAAAATTAAAACAATCTGTTCAGCGGGGGAAGTTTTTGCAACAGCGCGCCGCGTAGGGCTGCCAATTACGAAAAAGTTAACTACAAATTAAAAATTTATTATTATTTGTTAACCGAAAAATTACTAATGTATATAAAAATGTAATTTATAAATTCTGTTGTTGTGATGTATAATCACAAAAGATTTATGTTTAAATACTTATATACGTTTAAAATTGTGTGTATTTTCGAGGAGTGAATAATTTATAATGACCTGGAACGGAACTGAATAAGGTGGAAATGTTATATTTTATATGCATTCTGACTACTGTAGAGAACAATTGAAGTGTAGTTAAAAAAATGTATTTAGTAATTAATAATAAATGACCCTACACTTTTCTTAAAACGTAATGAATGTTTTGTGACATCCCTATCTGCAGCTGACAGCATATTGGCTATTTATCTGGATGTAGACGGCTTCCGCTGTCGGCTGTAGCCATGCCTTATTGTTGAATACTCGAAACGTTTTTCATATAAAACCTCTTTAAATCAAATCTCTTAAAAAGTCACCCGATTGCATTTGACGTTCAAAAAACATTTTTACTCTGTAATTAAGAACGTATAGTCTGTGGTTGGTATCTATCTTTTGCATGATATGCGTTCTTATCTATTTAAGATGTCTATCATATTAGTAAAACAATATGTATTTTTTATTCATTTAACAACCCAAAATATAGTTAGTTATTTGCTCGCGACCTCGTCCGCGTGGAATAGTGACTTTTTAAATTAAATAGACTGTTTTTTAATTTATGTAAGGGCGCATTTAAGGCAGCCAATCTATGTTATAAGTGCTACTTTGCCGCAACACTCTCACCTCACATCACTCCTACTCTAACTCCCACTCCCACTCCTATTCCCAAAAAGCCAATAAGAAAGTTTCATTGTTCTAGCTTCAAAAACCACGAACTTCCATACAAACTTTCATCCCCTTTTTCAACCCCTATCAACCCTTATTTGGCATTAAAAATCGGCGTATGTCCTTTCTCAGGCTCTAAAATATCTGTGTACCAAATTTAATTTAAATCAGTTCAGTAGTTTCGTAGTTAAAGCCGACAGACAGAGTTACTTTCGCATTTATAATATTACTATAGAAGTATAGATTGCCTTATAACCTTATAACTAGGGCCCTTCCATTTGTTTTATCGGAGGTAATATCAATGAAACACAATTGACATAATTATTTTTTCTTTCTTTAACTACTACAAACTACTATCACATAATTCCACTAAAACTTCTACAACTTTCTACGTATATACAAATTTACTATCATAGACTCTATCGAAAATTCGATGTGTAAGATAGTAGAAATGTCGGAATGTACTTTGTATGTAGTTAACATTAGATATAGATAATGTTGCTGACATTGATAGATACTAAATTTGTCTATGTAGTTTTAAATTAATGTTACAACTATACATTACATTATCTTGGATAGATAAATTAGATACATCAATATAAATGAACAAGCAGACAAATATAATTTCTATATTTTCATTTTACGTAAAAGAAAATATACGTATAAAAAATGTAAATTTTCTACGTCGTTACTGTATCACATTGAGCCAGGAATTTGTATGCAAAGTGTGCACTCAATAAAACTGATTTCCACATTTTGCTCCTCAATTTATTTCGGTCACATACACGTCATAGGGCTGCGACAACATGAAAGATATTTTTTAATATTAGAAGCGATTCGAGTATACTTTGTAGCCATTTTTTGGGTTCTGTATACAAAAGTTTAATTACTATGAGTTCACTGTTTATCTATCATCAGGAAACAACTAATAAACCCAAATGGTCGACATTCACATATTATAAATTTGCGTTACCGTTATAAGGACAAACACGAATTAAAAATGATAGTGGGGAACCTATCCTAAATACACCACTGTTTTTTTTAATGAATAGGGACTTTAATTCATTAAATTGCAATGTAAACTTTTTACAACGTTCCAATTAATCATCTGGCAAAGAACATTTCGCGTGTACGACTGTCTCATACTTAGCGTCTTCCAATAATTAAGAGCATTAATGAGAAATTTAAAGAAAAGTAAATTAATTTAAAATTCGATAATAAATTGAAAAAAAAAAATCGACTCGCGCAGAACTTGAATCGACATCGTCAGCGTTCCGTGCTGTTGCTCTGACTCGGTAGCTCAATTGGTAGAGGAACAGCACGGAATGCTGACGATGCCGGCTCATGTCCTGCCCCAGTCGAAATTCTTCTTCAATTTATTTTCGTATTTTAAATTATATAGTGCCTACATGTAAAAAATAATAAAGTTTTCAAAAGTAAATTAAGTTAAAGAAAATTGGATCAAGAAATCGTGCACAGCACAAAGATTAACTTTTATACTACCTACCAGTTAGCTGTGCGTTGAATAGTCAGTTATTAAGAACAATGCATTTACATATAGGGACTGATTTGTCGTTTTGTTTTAGAGAGAACTGAATGCTGTAGACTTCAAAGTGTCAGCGGATCTAAAGTTTGTTCTGCTGATCTCCGATGTACGACCTGGCTGGAGGCACGCTCGTCTAGCCCGATATCATGTTTACGATGTTATTACAAGGTACGAAGGATTTCTATAATTTCCTTTAAGTTTCCTCCCACGGGATATGAAGCAGACATTTCTGTGTCTGTATCACTGGTCGGTTCCTTTACAGCCAAGTTAGCAATGCCCGATCTTTTCAACATTTATTGTTTCCCCGAGCTTCCAACCTAGGCCCTGCGGCGCTTAACGCATTGCTATGCAAGATATTTATAGCTACAGACACGGTGAAGGGTCGTAGTCGTGGCTGAAAACAAACGAATTGCAGGTTTAATGTTTATTGTAAATCGTTTGTTAATTATTTGAGTGGGATTCTATTCAAGGGTAAATGTATTGGGTTGTATGTATTCAAATGGGTCTATAGATGGAAGTAATGAAATATCCGAGACTTGACTAGTCCAATGAAACTTATTTTTTACTATATCACGTCAGCTAGTTCAACAAGAGATCACTAGTAAAAAAATTGCGAAGATTTTCTTCAAAACTTAAAACACTAAATTGGACGTTTCAGAAATAGAATCCCGGTGTCCCCAATAGAGGATGACCGGTCAGCACCCCTTCTGCAGCATGCCGAGTGGGCTCCCGTTGGTTCTAGTTTAGTCTTCGTACACGATAATGACATCTATTACAAGCCTAAAGTCCTGAAAACACTTGTGTGTCGTATTACTAGTAATGGTAAGTTTTGCTTTGGTTTATTAAGAAATAGAATTTAAATACTGTCTGAAGTTTACGTGGGTAGTACACATTTAAAAACACTCGAACGGTTTAAAACGCGAAATATATAATTATACGTATTTAGGGTGTGTCACTGTGACCACGGCTGCTAGAAAGCATCCTTAACGTCGGGCGGTAGTTAAAATAAATTTCTAATTAGTTTAAGGATTATATTTTGCGTTTCATACATAAGTACAATTTAATTTGTATATTTTTCAAACAATTAGAGCTGAAAAAATAATTCTTATTGTAGGTAATCACACTTTTCTCGTCCTTTTAAAAGAAAGTTATTTTAATTTAAAATATATAATAATACATATATCTGATAATATAAAAAGTAAAATCTCGTTTTCCCCAGTGGGAAATCGGGCAAACACAATTATGTCTCCGTTTCAGATAGTGTTGTGCACCTTCCTTACTGTAACAATTTATTGTATTCCAGGATTTGAACCCAAGACCTCAGCTATGCTAGGCAACACCTTTATCCATTTAGCTGCAGAGGCGATCATATTTCTCACTCTCGTTCGACTCGAAGTGTAAATGTAACTCGAATAAACAGCAATTTTCGTGAAGGAATTTCTTAATTTGAAAGAATTCTTATAAGTCATATTGAATTTCCTTCGCATTCGAGATTATTGGTTTTCCCGGCATCCAACGCTCCGATCATATCGAAATATAATTCCAACAACGAAAACATCGGAGCCTTAACAAAAACATTTAAGCGCGATTATGCGTTGGATTCCACCCACGTCCCAATCCTTTCATCCCTTCGATAAGGGGCTTTATTCAAATACGAAAACCTTTTTATTTCAGTTCCCTCTGACCTTGCGCGTGAACTTCGATAAGCGATATCAGTAGACATTGCTTCAGAACTATTATGTACTATTTTATTCACTGACTTTTTCAGTATCTTTTATAAAACAGTGTCTGTAGTTTACGCGAGTAGTACACATACAAATAGTACACGTACAAATTCATCACTTTAACGGTTTAAAACGCGACATTTATTCGTCAAACGTACTTAGAAATGTTATTGTTTGTATACCGAAATTTGTAATTTTTGCAAAAGAATTACTTCATATAGAGCAACTACAGCCACGTGGGTCAAGGAATATAGGATTTAGTTTGATAACATTTATTTATTTATTTAATAAGGCTTACTAACTAGTACACATACATGTTAAACTACTTAAGCTAGTAAGAATAATTCTTATGTACCTAACTTATAAGTATGCACAACGTTGACTATATATATATGTATATAGAGAGATAAAGACAATACACACAGCAAACTACATAAACAAACTTAATCTTAGTTGATTCTAAATAATAATAGAATACTTAAGACAAATTTACTGATCAAGACATTGAAGTCCTTTTTCAACGGCCTGTAAGAACGAAACGAAAATCCTTGTAAAACGCGGTCACCACTGACCGATGCGGCTCAAATGGAAATTCTTGTTGTCAACCATCACTGACCGACACGACCGTTCACGGCGAAACCTCTTCGTCTCCCGTCTTAATTACATTTGTATAGTTCAACTTATACATTTCGAGTTTTAAACCGCTAAACGTGTTTTATTTTAATGTGGATTACTCGTGTAGACTAGAGTTATTTACATTTTATAATATCTATTCTATAGTGACATAGAAGTGACAATATATAAAATGATCAAACTATATCCATATCCATGTAAATTGGGTTGCTAAAAGCAATTGTGTTTGCTTTTCGTCGTGTCATTGTTAAATTGATTTACATACAAACAAACCGCATAATAATAATTATATATTAATAATTTTTTAATACCTTTAATTTAATGTGTTTAAGAATTTTACAACGGAAAGTGATGATAAATTTGGATTTCACTTCTAACAATGTTCAACATTAATTTTCTAGGTATACCCGGCGTTGTTTTCAACGGAGTACCAGACTATCTCTATGAGACAGAGGTGTTGCGACTAGACCGCGCGCTTTGGTTCAGTCCAGATGGGCAAACACTCATGTACGTCACGTACAACGATTCCCTGGTACCACAGTACATGTACCCTTGGTACGGCTTCGACCAACCCGAACCGCCTCCGTATTCAACTATACGAACTTTAAGATATCCCCAGGTAAGGCCTTTGCATTATTTATTAACCAAGCATTATTTTTAGAGACCAGAAAATGCCACTGAAATTGAATATTACACGGATTTTTTTTGTTTCTTTTATGATGGAGGAGAACAGACAAGCATGTTCATTTGATGATAGGTGGACCATACCTCAGCCATATAACGACTAAACAAGATGTGATATCGACCTATTTGGGTTCGGATATTCAGAACTGCACAGACTGAAAATGAAATGCGATTAAACTTGGTGGCATTTTCATCTGTGGCAGTGGTTCGTGACCCTGAAGAAATTTCAATTTTACAATTAATCGTATCTACCCCCATTGCCCACATTAATGGCCCAAATAAAACATAAATAATAAGTTTAAATACTGTCTATAGTTTACGCGAGTAGTACACATTTAAATAAAACACTTTAACGGTTTAAAACGCGATATATTAGTGACCACGGCTGCTGCAAAGCATCCAAAACGTCGGGCCGAAGTTAAAATCATTTTCAAATAAGTTTAACTAATATATCGCGTTTTAAACCGTTAAAGTGTTTTATTTAAATAATAAGTTGCCTTTATTTATATCGCCTCATCTATGTCTAACAAATTGAGCACAAAATTTTACTAGTATGACTTTAATACATATAAATTATTAAAATTTCAGGTGAATACGAACAATCCGGTCGCAACAGTCTACGTGGTCAGTCTTAAGACTCCGAAGTTTCTCTTCCCTCATGCCATACAGTTTTCCTCACAAGTCGACAAAGGTTTGCCAAATGTTTATCACTAGCTGCATCAGCGACTTCGTCCGCGTAGAATAGTTATTTTGGGCATCCAAATTTGTTTTTGCAAACGTCTACATCGTTATAAATTTAAGCTGCCCACGACAGCGGCGACAGCGTCCCGTCGCTCGCGACCCGTCCTTCGGGTCCCGTCGTTCTTGCACGTTAATCTTAAAAGATAGACATATAGTGTCGCGGTAATTTTTTTAGATCAATTATTGAGGAATTATTCGTTTTCGCAGCCCATTTTGTTCACATTTCCCGCTATATTTTCGCTTCTATTAGCCACAGCGCGCCTTTCTCGATAAATGCTCTAACAAACACAAAAATAGTTCCTGAGATTAGCGCGTTCAAACAAACAAACAAACTCTTCAGCTTTATATATTAGTATAGATATAATATACATACCTAGCATGCAACTTAAGGCAGACTGTCGAGTTTAATTTAGATGTAATAAAAAAAATGTAAATAGTTATAAAATAATTGTACCAAATAACATCTCCAGTGTTTTCTTTGTATTGCTTTCACATACTACTGCCGCATTTATAAAACTTTAGAGCTCAAGTTGATTTTTATGTTAACTCCACTAACAATTTACTCGATCTCAAGAAGCCGTGACGTCATAGGTCACGATAATACGATGTTTCCTGGCATTTCAAAAACTTCTTTAGGGCTGTTTAAAGTTTTTTTTTGGGTAAGTAAGATACCTTTTTATAATTTAAAAGGCTTTCTCAAAAATAGTATATAATAAGACACAATATCGAGAACCTTTACTGAATTACGACGATTTCCAATAATATGTTGTTTTACAGAAAATAATTGTATTAATTGTAGAAAAAAGTTATGTTATTTTATTTATTTTTGGTCCAGGTTGGTACATTCGCTGGAGCAGCTGGATTTCAGAAAAGCAGATAGCTGTGCTGTTACTCAATCGACCGCAAAACGTATCCATAATATCGACGTGCAGTGCTGTACATTATAACTGTCAAGATGTAAGTTACTTAATTCATATACTAATTGCTAGTTGTACTCGCAACTTTATCTGCGTGGAAAAGTTATTTTGGGCAATACAAGTTAATTTTTTTTTATTATTTATCTTGTAAGATAGTCTTAAAAGATAAATATTTACTGTAATTTTATTGGATACTGTAAATCACTATTTTTTTTTTTTTTGGTTTCTTGAACCGATTTCGCAGCGTACGCATCGGAAGCCCACAGAGATGAATATTTTCCCCGTTTTTTCTGTGCTCTTATTAGTCACAGCGCGTTGTATATCCTTTTCTCTAGTATATTATTTCTTATTATACATTAGCTTTCCTCAATAAATGGTCTAACACAAAAAGATTTTTTCAATTCGAACCAGTATTTCCTGAGATTAGCGCATTCAAACAAAAAAACTCTTAAGCTTTATATATTAAGATAGATTTAACAGTTGTTTTAAGTAAGTTTATCATATTATTTGTAAAGAATAAATAATATAAGAGCTATAATGTATTTAACAGATTTATCGAGATGAATCAGATGGGACCAGATGGTCTGGTCTCGGCGCAGAACCTGTAGAGGAGGACTGCGGTTGGTGCGGTGGGGGTGCTCTAGTTGGTGGCAGTAGTGGGGTGTTCACAACAGTCCCAGTGACGGATCAGGGTGGAGTGTGGAGGCATGCTGTACACCTGACGCAGGATACCAGGACAACCCTGACGCAGGGCAGCTTTGAAATAACTCAGTTAGCTGGCTGGGATGAGAGAAGACGATTCTTGTTAGTATATAATACGAAGGCATAATGATATAAATTTGAACAAAATATATATATTTAAAAAAAACACTTCAACGATTTAAAACGCGTTGTATATTAGTTGAACTTGTCTGAAAATTATTTTAATTACGGGCCGACGTTTCGGATGCTTTGCAGTTAAAAATAATTTTCACACCGTTTGATTGCTTATTTTATTGTGTACTTCCCGCGTAAACTACAGACAGTATTCAAAAATATATATAATTTTTTTACTTAAATTTTGCTACAACAATCGACAATTACAATACCAAAGTTATAAGACATTATTAGTATTATTTTAATTATTATTACTTTTTGTCATTCACACTAGTTAGTTACTTAGTAGTAGTTATTGTATATGTACTGAATTCAAACACTTAACGGTTTATAACACGAAATATATTATATAAGCATCAGAAACGTCATTAAAACGTGAAAAGTTCTTTATTTAAATTTATAAAAGTTATTTCTATGACTTCAATCTAGAGACCCGGGAGCGTGTCAGACAAGTTCAATGAAAGGAACTGGCTAGGCAGCGCTAAGTATATCTTTACACGAAACATGTTTGACCCCTTGAAAGTTATAACTTTAAACCTGTTTAACGTCAATCTATGAACAAACAAACAAAAAATACTACAACGCGACAAGGTACGGTCGCGGTACTATAATGCTATGAAACTACTTGTTTCGTGAAAACAAGGCTTTTCATTTTTACATACATGTATTTTTTGGGATTATATTAATACAAAAAGTTTGTAACATCGCTGTTGAATAGATTGCAATTAAGATTTTGCTCATACGAACTGCTCGTTTAACAGATACGTTATCGGCACAGCAGTGGATCAAGCCGGTGACCGCCATTTGTATCGAGTACGCGTTCCACAGGATGGATGGCCACCGGCGCCTAAATGCCTCACTTGTCCAGGGGAACCGCCTGATGAAGAACCAGACCCAACTACCGAACAACCTGTAAAATCAACGACTTTTCTTTCTGATTCACTGATTTTATTCTACCGACAATTAAGCAGACGATAGGAAAATTTCTAAAAGTTTTTTTTGACAGCACAAATACAGTGTTAATTTGTTTTCTCCTCTCAGGATTATGAAAATGTGACGTCATCGCTGCCTGCGTGGCCGACGTCAACCGTGCTGCCTCATGTGTCTGACGAAAACGACTCACTGCCCATCGAGTGTCTTTACAACAGAGTGTTATTTAGTACAAATTTTTCGTATTATGTCCAGGTCAGTACAAACACTTTTTTTTAACATAGTATCCAAACTCTTTGTTGGCACTCCTTATATATACATATATATAAGAAAGTAGAGTGTTGATATCTATTCGTGATGTGCTGTCGAGCTATATTGTAGGAAATCTCAATATTTCTACTATTTATATTACACCCAGGTTTTCTTTAACGATGGATCCGAAAAGACTACTGTATAAATCCTTGTCTGTAGTTTACGTGATACATTTAAATACAACACTTGATATAATTTGACTTGTTTAATAAGTTTACTTATTTCAACTACGACCCGACGCTTCGAAGGCTTTGCTGCCTTGCTTTACACATATTTCGCATTTCAAACCGTTAAAAGTAATTTATTTAAAGAATTCATGTATTCATTATTACTTTCTAGGAATGTTTGGGTCCTGGACCGCCAGCTATATTTCTCTGCGCTTCAAGCGGAGCACGTATCGCAGTCCTGCATGATGGAAAGCCTCTGCGTCAGCACTTTGCAGAACTGGCCACTCCGCATACTAAAGTGTTCAGAGTCGAGGTAACTTTCTTCATACTGTCTGTCGTTCGATTCTCTTTTTGAATTTAAAACGCAGCCCCCAAATCAATCAAGTGAAGTAAAGTAAAACTTGTTTGTCCCCTCTATCATAAAAAAAATAATTACAAATATTTACAATTACAATGACGCGAGTAGGACACTCTTAACGATTAAAAACGCGAAAAATGGTAGTTACATAATTTACAATTTATTTTTACTTCGTCCGAAGGTGGGACTCCCATTACCACGACTCATGCAAAGCATCCGAAACGTCTGTCCATACATAAAATAAATTAATATATTTCGAAGTGTAAACTGTTAAAATTGTTTCATTTTCCTGATACTGCAAATTCTGAACTTGAAATTTAGCTTCAGTAAAACTATTTTTTTTTCAGGTGCAAGCTCATAGAGAAGCAAGAGTTCGTCTCATGTTACCTCCAGGACTCAGAGACACAGATGACCTGCCTCTACCGCTTGTTTTACATGTGTAAGTTTCTGATAGAAGTAGAGACATATTTAAGTCGAATATAAAATTTGTGGTGCAAGTAGAATTCAATTTATACTGACAGATACATAGAGTTCTTTGTATTTATGGTCATTTGCATTCTAAATCACATTCCCTTTATTAGCTAAAAAAAATACAAACTGTCATAATGTACAACAGATTCAAGAAATCTTTGTTCAGTGTTTGCCTACGGTTCTAATCAATTATCTCCAGAATTTTTAAAGTCACCAAATTTTGTTCGTGCTTAATGTTTCGTAAATGTTTGTAGTTCTGCAGAGCCTGGAGCGCAGCTAGTGACGTCACGGTGGCATGCTGGATGGGGTTGGTACTTGGCTACTGCGCGAAATTTCATTGTGGCTGAAATTGATGCACGTGGCTCTGGTGGACAGGTATATTTGGTTTACATCCTCATTACAAGAAGAGAAGAAAGGTGAAGTAATACAAAACGATTAATTACCACGTGGCTTACCGCCTCAGTAGCAACATGATTATAAGTGTTGCCTAGCATTGAGTTAAGTGCGAAAGGTCGTTGGTTTGAATCCTGGGGAAACAATAAATTGTTTCGAGCAAGGCACAAAAGTCTTTATGCAAAGAAAACCGATTAGTGTAACTGTAACTTAAATATTAGCTTAATAACTACAATTTAAAAAAGAAACTTCTGTGCATCACTACTCAAGCGTAGAGGAGAAGCGTTGGTTTGCAGTGCCCTCCCGGGGCGAAAGAGTGACCAACAACTACAAGCTTTTAGTGAACTAAACTAAAGTAAACTTTAAAAGTAAATAACCTTAGAATAATGTATAACGAACATAGAAATCTCCCCCATGCCCCGCGGGGTACGGGATGTCACTGACATAATTGGCTACATATTAATTATGCAAACATTTCAGGGAGAAGAGCTACGCACTGAAGTGTACCAAAAGTTATTGTCGGTGGACGTAGAGGATCAAATCGCTGTGTTATCGTGAGTACCCAATAAGAAATTCTCGTATGAAGCTATTAAGGTCATGCTGGGCAGGTTTCTAACATAGAAGTTCATAAGAACTTAGACCTACGCGGTTTCTGGGCTGCCTAGCATGCCGTTTAAGGTACGAGGAACATGTGTATCTTAGTACCTTAGTACCTTCTATTTCTAAATTACGGGCTGGTACAGATATTTACAAATATGGCAAATACCAAAGTATTAATTCTTCAGCCCAAACCCTCGAACTAATACAACAAAGAGACCGTAATACTAAGCAATTGTACGCTGCTGCAAGGCATCCGAAATAGGTAGGGTCCTAATATAAGTAGGGTCGTAATTAAAGAAAGATAACTAATCTATTTCGCGAGCTTACCCGTTGTAAGTATTTTGTTTAAATAATATTTTTGTCGTAGGTATCTTCGTGATAACTTAAAGATGGTAGACGGGAGTCGGATCGGAGCGTGGGGCGCAGGTTACGGCGCTGCGGCAGCACACGCGCTGGCTGCGGGCGACGCTCGTAATCTTACGCGTTGCATAGCCTTACTTGCACCACTAGCTGATTTAAGACACCATAGTAAGTAGAAAACCGTTTCTAGAACAATAATATGTACATAGCTACATATTATTGTACTAGCTGTGCCAGTGACTACTGCCGCGGCCCGTCGTTCTTGCAAGTTCAATTCTCTCACGGACATTTGTGTGTCATTTAAAGAGGATTGATTTTTTCACACATATTTTGTTGAACCGTTTTCGTACCGCACGACGAGGTTTTGCCTCAAAAAATGAATAATTTTTCCCCGTTTTTTCTTCACTTTTTCAACTGTTTTCTTGCTCCTATTGGTATTGGTAATGATTTTTCAATTTTGAATCAGTTAGCCTAAGATTAGCGCGTTCAAACAAACTCTTTAGTTTTATCATATAAATATAGATGATAATAAAACGGAATAGGATCACCATCACCATCTTTTTATAGTACTACAACGTATTTTTCTTCTTGAGAAAGCTGTGTATAGATAAAAAATAAACAAAAATATATTTCATATATCTAATTTAATCTTAAAAGTGAGCAAACTGACGAACGCGGGAACACTAGGGAAATTACGTAATTGTGTGAATTTCAGACTCATTTTGGACGGAGCGTTATGGCGGTGCAGGTGTCGGTGGTGAGGCTGCAGTGTGGCGCCGGGCAGGCAATTTACCACCTCGACGAGTGCTACTCGCCCATGCGACCGCAGACACCAGAGCACCACCGCACCATGCCCTGGCGCTGGCTAGAGCACTGATCAAAGCAGGAGCTCTTTATACACATCATGTAAGTTGCCCTTAGTATATCTATCCTCCATGTAAAACTTCCTTATTTCTGACTATTACAAGATTATCTTCGGTAACGTTCCATAACTTTCAACTTAAAGTCATGCGGAAAAAAACCAATACTAATTGTGTTGTAATTGTGTTACGCTAACAAAAAGAAGAAATAAATTAATAATGAAAATAAAATATAAAGAAATCAGAACCCCGCAATACAAATTGAAATATTTTAAGTCTACCAAGAGTTCCGTAGAATAATAAGCAGAGCTCCATACAAACACATATTAATATTAATGCAAACAGAAAAATAGGTACATTTTAAAATGATTTGAAAGAGTTCCTTGTTGAAGAAAGTAAATGTACAGAAACTCAACAACATGTATAAAAACACCCATCTAGAAATTAAAGACGATATTTGTTACCCTCAACTAAAAAGTAACGTTGCAGATATATCCGGATGAAGGGCACAATTTCGAAAAGTCAGGAATCCACCTCCACAAAACCATGGAACACTTCTTCGACGAGTGCTTTGGTCCGGTCGAGCTTGCTGATTGGGATGCTGGAGTCGAGGGCCTCTTCCCATTTAGAGATTAATTTGAAACGAAACGTTCAGCAACCAAAATGGTCGAAGTGAATGGGATCGCAAATCTCTAAGAATGGATGGATTGTATGACAGGACACCACGTAAGGAAACCGGCGTTTCTAGCAATTAAAGGGTTACGGGAACTATTTTCCAACTAGTACTAGCTAAGTAGACTTACAGGAAAGACCATAATCCAGGATTTGGAACTGTTGCATCTCTGTTGATGGTATTGATGATGTATATATGTCAAATAAAAGTCCCACATTTTACAGTGAACAGAGAACCTTATCAGGTATTTAACTGCTACAATATTTAAAATGGAAATCATGTAGTTTTTGTACATTTTACGTTACCCAAGAGTTTGGATACCTAAAATGTACTCTAATAAATCAATTGAGCTAATCGTGTCGTTGCGTCGTTTAGTATACCTAAATACAAATAAGTGTATTCAATGTAAACAGACCTCGACAACAACATATTTTCTCAACTTTAACAATGAATGCGATACAAACAGGAATAAGAATTATTTATGGCAATAATTCGAGTGTCCATCCAATACTTTAAAAGAAGTCTTCTAACGAGTATCTTTTTTTAACGATGGCAAATCAAAGGCTAAAGGGCCAATACGCCGTCCTTTTTAAAAGTATAACTCTAAATTTTAAATCATGATTCTAATATTATAAAATATCATACCATATAAATGATATGTTAATTTATAAACCATTGTAAAGATTTCGATATTACATTTAGACCCCCCGCAAATAACAAACTTTCTATCGGCCGATAGTTTGATCGCGTTGGGCTGTTATTGCGCACACTATGCCAACTATGTTGGGTGGTAATGAAAGTTACTCGCAGTACAACATTATCCAGATATATTATAATTGCTCTGATATAAAAGAGGAGAAAAATGAAAAAGAGAGAGCGATAGATTATGAAATGCCAAAACTCGGAACAAAATGAAGCAACGGTCAAGTCGCATAGCAGTCGGCCGATAGTTTGAACGCAGTTGAGTAGCCCATCAAACTTATTTATTGGCCGATACCAAATCGTTGTATTATGCGGATTTGCATACATCTTCATACAGATTGTAAGCCCGACCAAACTATCGGATAGGCTGATGAGGCCGATAGACAGTTTGTGGTTTGCGGGGGTCTTAAACGTACGGGACGTATTTTAAAAGCATTGCACCGTGCATTTACAAAAATAGATTATGAAATATTAAATGGTGCATATTTATATTTGTTATACATAAGCCTAAATACATATTTTATTAGATAAATAGTTAGTCGTGAAACAATTGAAATGGCGATTTGAATGTTTTACCTTGATGTATTATTATTGTTAGATAAATGAATTATAAAGCAGTTTGTGAACAAGTATTAAGGTAGCGATAGCATAATTTATTTATTTCACTTGTAGCGTTTTTTTTTGGAGTCTCTTACCATTACGTTTTCTCATTAAGTATAATGTACATCTAATTGGACATTGTCGGATTATGTTCGTACAATCTGTATTGTTAATTACCTTAATCACTTTTTCACAAATTAAGTACTTAGCGCGTGTCGCTCTGAGAAAATTTTCTTATGATTATATTATAAGGTATAAATGTTCTATATTTTAGTGTCAAATGTATGAAACTTACCTACCTACTTACTACCTACTTAAATCTATGTACTTCAATGTCGCTTTCATTGTCATCGTAAACCTAGCTTTAATATTTTTAGATTATGCAAAAATACTAAATTACTATTTCTCTACGTTACAGTCAACGTTGTTACTTATAGCCCGAAGTTTACAATCCATAAATTGCTAATCTGTTATATGAACGTTGAAATAATCATGGGAAATATTTTATATCCTTTACTTATCGTTATGTCCAATAAAAATATACCAAATCACTCTCAAATAGCTATGTTGACTGTAATGATTTGTTTGGAACTCAAAAACCTACAAATTCTACACTAGAATGCTAGATCGAAACATCTTAATAAACATATTCATGCGAATAGATTTTATAAAAACAAATGGTAAAAATTACAAAAATATAATACAATATAGATGTCGTATTTATGTAAAACAGAGGAATATCGTTGTAATAGTAAATATGGTGTATATTTTGTGTAAGAACATTTTCTAGTCAATAACTATCTAGTCGAGTTTGGTTTTATTTTATTTTTAGTTATGAGGACGTTGCGAGCGATATAATTATTTAAACTCAAGATCTTCTCACTATAAGGGTAACACCGAAGAGATATTATAGAAGAGGTATTATAATAGCAAACCTATTTTACTGAATCGAATTGTAATGTATGACTTTTTTTAGTATAAAACGATTTGTGCCATCTACCCCATTAATAAATTATTGTTCACTGCCAATTTATTTCAGTTGTAATTAAGATTTAAACATGATAATTACCGATATCAGATAATTCAAATATAATTTAGTCTAGTAGTGGGTATTATAAATTATATGTATTTTACGTTCAATATTTTACAAAAAATATCTTATGACTCGGCTATGTATACAAGATATATTTTAAACATTAATAAATTACATTATTTATTGCTATGATTGTTTACAAATAAATTGCAGAATTCAAACATTAACTTTATTTTTATTCGTACCTGTTGTAGTCTTCGCGTTAAGGAGTGGTCAACAGTAAAATATGTAATATGTAACAAATAAGTTAGGTATAAGTAGCGGCACGGATCTTTAGCGCTGAACGAATCTTGCGCAGAAGTCAAATATAAGGTATCGAAGGGATGGAAGCGGGCGCAAGGCGAGTGAACGTCATGTGTAGGGATACTGTAGGGGTGTGTGATTGGTTTTAGATAAATAAATAAAATGTGCGCTAGCGTTGATTGGTTCGCCAGTCGAGTTGTCTTTCTCGGACTAATACGACGCTCCGCTTGCTTCTAGAGTACAGTCGCGTTTTCCAATCAATTACGTGCAAGATTGTATAGATGCGCAACTATCCCCTCTACACTTCGTTCAGTGCTAAACATCCGTGCCGCGACCTATACCTACCTATATTACTTTAAATGATTTTTAACCCGAAATTGTGATGACTTTATGTAATTTGCATATCAATTGTTTTTCATTACTTTATAGCTTGAAAAATGTAGTAGATATGTGTGCTTTTTTTCAAGCTATGATGAAAGTAATAATTATTTACTTTCTGTTTGTATTAGTTTCATTAGTACTGAATTATCATTGAGTATGAAATACTTAAACATTGTTTCTTTAACTCCAGACAGTGTCATATAATTAAGACAATATAGTCTACCATGGTAGCTACTAATGGCCAGATACCAGGTCTATAGATATGCATTTCATTACCGGATATTCAGCAAAACTAAACGATTGGCTTGGTTTTGCTATTCGGAAATAGCTGATGTCTTTTTATTCTATGAGAAAAAAATATTATTTTAAGTGAGCAAAATGTGAAATAGAAACATAGATGTCTAAACATTTTCGATTACATACTTAATATTTTCTTCCGCTTCCAACTGCTTCTTTCCACACACATTTTTTTTCTTTCATGTCATCCTCGCATCTCATGTCCAACTCAGACTTTTGAAAATTGATCTATACGAGAACTATATTCAAATATTATTTTCATGTATGTTTAAGAAAACCTCATTTGAGATTATAAATGTGATTTTATTGTAAAAATAGTATGTACTATGGTCATCATCATTGGTTATGTTGTGATTAATAAATATAAAAAGTTGTTGATACAGCAGCTGTTTTTTATTTACCCCCAGGACGTAATACTCAATGTAATGTTGGAATCACAACTTTATTTGAATAGTATCTTACAGAGGAATATAATTTATTATAGCATTGTCTACTCTACGCCGACACATATGCTTCCACGTAGCAACCTGTAAAAATAAAGAAATAACTAAGAAATAATATCATGAGGCAATTCAATTCATATGACAAACAAAAATTAATAATTATTATAATTTTATTTACAATTTGCAACTAACATCAGGATGTCCTGTTTCAATAGCGGTTTAAAAAAAAAATCAAGTAATCGCGTATTATTTAACCAGCGCGAGCTGGAAAATGCAAATAAAGTTCGCGTTTGAAATCGTTAAAGTGTTTCATTTAAATATTCTATGCCTGTTATATTCATATTTTTCTATTATTTTCGTATTAAAGTATTTGTTTTTCGTGTAACGTAATAGTTGTTACCCTACCATTTACTTCCAACGGTTGTTTTCGTAGTCCCACTTGGAGGCCAAACCGTCAATTGGATTAACTTTCAGGTCCAGCATACGTTTAAGTTGTGCCTTTTGTGCTTCTTCACTGAATGAATCAGGCAATGGGCTGTACACTGTAAAAAAATATAAAACATTCAATTCAATATAGAGCAACAAAACATATCTTTCTAGATTTACAATATAAGGGATAGGCAACATATATTTTCAGCAACCTATCATTTGGACATGTTTTTGGCAGCGATAAGGACCTACTTAAGCCAGTATACAACTTCTTTAAAACAGTAACTAACTGCAACTTCAAGTATTTGCGGATCAACTAAAGAACACTTTTTTTAGGTTTTTGTAAACTTTCATTGAACTAAATTTACTAATTACTATTGACTAGAATTGTTAGTAATGTTTTAAATTATTTTTCTTACTAAAAGACCCTTTTTATCTGTTTTACTGGTAAGTGGTAATATATTAGTATAAAATTGAATGTTTGAACAACTAACGATGGAGCAGATCATAATATTCACAAACAAAGTAAAAGGTTTTAGGGACATTCAGATAACATAACATGCTCAGCTTATAGTAACTCTGAAAATAGGTAAACATCTGTCAGTTAATGTGGTCAAATCATCAAAATAATAATATGGACATACCAAACAATTTGACACCCATATAGATCCATAACGACAGAGAGGCCATGACGAGGGACCAGCCAAGGGCGCCTTTCCACTGTCCAGTAGGGGCCTGGAATTCAGCAAAGGTCTGGCAGAAGGAGGCTCTGTAGAGAGCTTTCTTTTCCTCCACAGTCAATTTGTGCCAGTCACCCTTTTCTTTTTCACGAAGGGCCTAAAATATATACATGAATATTTACATAATATATTTGATGTCAAACAATATATTATGGATATATATATATAGTTTTACTGTATTGCATAGAGCAAATCTGAAGTGATTTATTTATAAGAAAATGTGTATAAGAAAGTTTGTTATGGACCAAAATGGGAAATGGGTTTTTTTCTCATTATATAACTTACTTTGACATCGGGTGTCTCAACACGGAACCTGACAGCAGGGAGAGGGTAGTCTGGCCTGTCTACATAGTTGGGTTGACCATTGTAACCGTAACCTACCCACTCGCGGTTACCAATCTGTAAAATATTGTTTAAATTTTAATATAATTATCAAAATAATCATCAAAAGTTGATATTAGCGATACTAATCATAAATTAGAATTCTATGAAATCTTATTATGTATTGTAGAACTCCTATATTTATAAATGTTAAGGTGCATTGTTTATTGTAAACTTTTAAATGACTAAGTATGTTTATTTCTTTGTTTTTCCTCAAGATTTTTTATTTTAAGTTTACACATAGTATGTTGTACCGTGACCTAAACTGTCTTTTAATGAACTTACCTTAGCTAGTTCACTAACAGACCTAGTACCAGCTGGTACTCGGACTGCGTCTAATATTGCTCTGCGTAGCAATAGATTGGCCATTGTACTGCAATAATTTAAAAAAATCTATACATAATCAAAATGTAGTCGCTTACCTACATCATTTTAATATAAAATAGTTTATATTAAACAAAAACAATAAAAATACTGTAGGGAAAGAATAAAGAACTTTCAATTGAATGATGACAATTTTTACTGAATCTCAATTTTACATGGGTTTTAGAAACGTGTGTAAAGTGGATATTACAACATACGAATCAAGGTGCACTGAAGAAGGTGTTATTGATAAGACTAAATAGGTTATGACAATCGATCGTAAGTTACATAACTACTGAAATTCCCTAAGGGTTTGTCCGGTGCAATAAATTTGAGATAATGTGTTAAACAATAGCCCGTTTCTTTTTTTAATAATACAAAAATGATTAGGTGTATTTAACGCTTGCTAAGATTCCAATTTCAAAATTGCGTATCGAAAATCAAAATATGAACACATTGGGAATCTGAATTATTTACAGGATTAATGAGAATTATTTTCACTGTAAGTTGGATTTATTATATAAGAAATAAGAACATTACATACCTTCACTGCGGTATATCTTTTAAGAAAAATCACTACTTACTTTATTGATTCTGAAACTATTTTCCTGTCTAGGAAAAGATGTAGACTGTAGAATGTAGTAGAGGCTGTAGATGATAACTTATAATTGTTGTCTGTGACAAACATGTCAATAATCAAACACTCCAAAATGTCAATTGACATTTTTATTTTATTTTATAAAGACCATAGAATATATTTAGACAAAACTTTTTTAGAATGGAATGCTAAAGGAAAAAATTAAGAAGAAGAAGAATATGTTACACAAGGAAGACAAGACAGAAGATGAAAATATTAAACTATTATAATATTCCCCGCTTTTGATGATTTAACGTTACGGTTTTAAATGCTATTTAAAAAAATATATTTTAATCTTAGAAAATTAAAACAAATCGCGAAATAACAGGCATATTATTTGAGTAAATTTTAGAATATGTGTCAGGATATATGTTATCGTGTGAAAAATATGACGAAGATTTAATTTAAACTATTGCCTTTAAAAAATCCTAGCATTTATAAACATATTAAGAATACTTTCTACAATTTTTTATTTATTTTACTTTTTAATTCGTTTTCAATAGCTTCAGAAACTAATCCCAACATTTCATTTTCCGGTACAATATAATTGTTTTTGGAATTACTCCTTGTCATGTCTATGAATCCATCATTTGTCGCAATACTTAGGCCATTTTCTTCAGGAACTACAACGTCCTTAGATTTTTCATTATCACTAAGATAAAGAAATGTTACAACGGATTCGTTCTTTCCTTTTGTATCCAATTTAATATTAGGAGTAACCATTACTTCTTCTTCGATTATTTTTTTCAAGTCGATATTTTTCATGAATTGGGCTATTTCACTTTCCACATTGGAATTCTTAATATGTTTTAAAGGCTGATGGTCATCGTTGAGTCTCTCTATAGACTGTGAACGACCTTCCATTTTTGAAATTTCAAAATTAACATCGTGAGAATTTTCCTTGGAATTTTTTTCTTCTGTTTGTGATCTTTCTAATTCTATAGATTGTGTTATATCTTTGATTTCTTCAGAATAGTTCAGAATCCTTGTAACCAGTTTTGGCTCGTTTTCTACACTTAAGGAACCTCCAGTAACTATATCTTTTTCAGTTGTACTTTTAATACCATCATCACGCATTACATCTTTTTCGTGTTTTATAATATTTCGATAAGTTTCTATCTCGCCGCTCGTAAACATGGTGGATAAAAATTCTTTAAATAAATTTTCATCCAATAATCTTAATGCTTTGTCAATGTCAAGTATAGACAGTGGTTCTAACTTCTTTCCAGTGAGTGGAGGTATTTTGAATGTTGTTGTGGTCGGTCTGCGTTTAGGTAAGAAAGAGTAAACGTCGAAAGGTGGTTGCTCTGTTGTTTTTTTAAGTGTAACTGGTACTTTCTGGAATAAGTTTTATATACATTTTATAAAGATTAATAAAGTAAACAAGCACAATCTATGACTACCATCACTTGAAAAGTTTATGAAAGTATACCTAATTATATTTTTTTCCTACATACTCACTTTCTCCATAATCTCCTCTATCCAGTCGGTGTAGAAGCCAAGTTTAGTAAAAACAGTCGGTGCATCTGGAGTCCCACATGTGGGTGAGCCAAAACTTATCACTCCCATGAGCTTGCCATCTACAACTCCAGGACCACCAACATCGCGCTTAAAAAGAATAGGTGGAATTTAACATTTCCGGATTTAAGAATAATGATAATTTGACAATACAACTACGGATACATACATTACACGCTCCACCACCTTTAGATAAAAAACCCGCACAAAAATGCTTCCGAGTTACATATTCTCTGTGAACATTAAAATAAAATGATAACACTTAAAAATTATATATGTTTTAGGACAGAATATATGCATCAAAATACTTCTCTTACTTACTTTGTGTAAACATCTCGACAATCTTGTAGCGGATAAATATCAAGTATTGAAAACGATAAGATATTTTTCCAAGGGTTAAAAATCACGCCGCTTCTCTGGAAAAATAAATTATGTGCTTACATTAAATTGTTTACATCAAGAATCGCATATTTTACACACTACTTACTCCTTTTGCACCCCACCCTAAAATAGTGATACCAGGAGTAGTCAAAGGTAGACTCCATGGGTGTCTATCGATGTCTATTCTCTTTACTCTTTTGACTCTCTTGCCAAACTTTAGTCTCCGAACTAGTCGCACGATACATAAGTTGTTTCTTAAAGACTTTGGATCATACAAAGGGTGGAAGTAGATTTCCAGGACCGGAATAACTTCACCACCGCCACTATAAAAGGAACTGCCAACTCTAACGGAGAGGAATGCTGGATTTTCACGAAACAAACGATTATTCCATGCCCTGTTTTAATCGGTTAAGTTAAATTAAAAAATATAGGTATAATTATTACAATAGTTTGAAATAATACTACGAAGTAAACTCACAGTTGTAAACATGAAGAAGCGGTAATAACAAGATCGGACTTGATAATAGATCCAGCGCAATGAAAGTTATTGAAGATATGCACACTGGCCATAAATGGAAAGTATTTGATCTTTGTCCTCTCCCCTTTGTAAATTCGCCTACCACTTGGTTCTGAAAAATTATCAGTCATCGTAATTACTGTATATTCCCAATCTAACCGCCTAATTAATTTTTTTACGAGCATACCCCAAAATTCATTTTCCCTTATAATACTTTCATCATTATAGTCTTGTTTATCACTTCTTGAAATGTTACTATGAGCTCTTGCATTTTTTAAATGATCCAGAACTTTCATATTGATATTGACGTAAACTGTATTATCTGCGTATGAATGTCGCAATATTTTCAAACGAGACACGAAGTGTTCTATAAACGATATTACATTAATATCATTCATCTCAATACTATTTGTTTTATCTTCATTGATAATTTCATTTATGATAGCAATAAAATCTGTGTTATTACTATATATTGTATTATAGTTTTGGTTAGCTTTAGTTATTTCCAGGATTTTTTTCAAGTTATGATCGTCTTGTAGTGTTAACGATACAAAGTACTTGTGCGTGATAGTATATTCTTGCAATCTAGGCATTTCATGTATTCTTTTCAAGCCCAAGATCCAGAATAATTTGTTTACAGTATTTCGGATAATGGCCTCTGTATTTAAAATATAGCGATCTCCAATGGGTATTTCTTCAAGACAGTCGCAACATATGACGAACATCAATATGATAATATTTATATTCTTGTTTAAAGCCATGTTTAATTTTGTTTTCTATTTGTGTAAATCCAACCTTAAAATATAAAGAAACACCTAAGTAAACTAATCTTCACAATTTATTACTTGTTTTATTTCCTGTTTTATGGCAATTGGATTTATATTTGTTTCAACGATTACATTTGAAAATCAATTTAAATTTAACTTTCGACTCGACCTTCAAATATAATAATAGGTATTGATAATATTATGGTTAAGACCCAGTTATTTTTTTTTTTTAAATTGAAATATTATTCTTACAATTGCAAGCACGTAGCCGCCGTAACGATGACTCGACTATGAATTATTGTTCCTGCGCATGTAAACTGGCCTTTAATGTTGACGCTAGCCATAAATGGGAACTTATTTATACTCGTTCGAATACCTTCGAAAATGATTCTAGCATCGCTGTAATTTGCCTATATGTAAAGGAACCGAAAACGAATAAATAATTTTTAATTGTATAGTTCAATCAATCATCTATAACATACATCATTCACATATCGTCAAATTTTTGTTCCGATGACTAAAGTACCTTACATTAGTCATCGGTACTAAAGTAGTATTTAGTTTTAAAACGCTATTTTAAAATTGGGCCGTCATTATTTGTTTAATTTGTATTGTTAAATATATTATGGTTTCATCTTACTAACAATTACATATTAATGTTAAATCATTATATTTTTGTTTCTCTTAGGAATTTGCTCATCTTTGTATTAATATTTTCAATTTTCATGTCACCTGTTTTATACTTCATATAGTATTATAATTAGAAAATTAATGATTACTCCTTAGTTTTAATTAGTTAAGTAAAATCTCCTTGTTAAAGTCGTATAAAAACGAATGTCAAAATTGTCACCTACGCAAAACATCGGTGATTTGACCGTATCCCAACTATTCTGGTAATAAAATAATTTATAATCTATGTTGTCCAATTTCGTCTTGCCTGCAAAATGTGGGGGACTTTTCCACCAGTCTACAAGAAAAGTATATAATTGTACACGTATCGGGAATCGTGACTGGGTGGGACATGGTATAAATGGAATGGCGAATTATCAAGACAGCCCCCTCTTCCCTTTCCCTGCTGTCAGATTCAAGGAAAACACGAGGGATATCTGCGTAAGAGCATTTTTAACATTGTATCTATTACTAGCTGTGCCTGCGACTTCTTCCGCGTCCCGTCGGTTTTGCGAATTAATCTTAAAAGATAGACATAATTGTCGCGGAAATTTTCCACACATATTTACTGTAGAACAAGTAGTTACTGAGATTAGTGAATTCAAACAAAGAAACAAACCGATCAACTTTATAATGATAGTATAGATAAATACAGCTAACAATAGGGAACTGATACTCATCCATTATAGTACGAGATTCTCCTACTTACTTACTTATTTTTTGGAAATAATAACTACACACAAACACTTAAAACGTTAAGTGGTCCTACAGTACCAGTTCTCTCTCACAACCTCTAAGCACTTGTCAACTGTGTATCTAGGCGCTCCGTGAAAAAGAGAAAGGTGACTGGCGTTTACTCTGCTGCGAAGAGAAGAAGGCACTATACCGTGCGTCGTTCTGCCAAACTTTCGCGGAGTTCCAGCACCCCACCGGTCAGTGGAAGTTCTGCTTGGGCTGGGCGCTGTTTGCAACCTCCTTCACTTTCTGGATGGTCATGTTCAACCACTACTATGGTACTATGTTCCTCCACTATGTTGATGCGCGCCTTGTCCTCTCTTAGGCGCTTCGTGACAGAGAGAAGTGTGACTGGCGAACTCTGTGCATCGATGAGAAGAAGGCCCTTTATCGCGCCTCCTTCTGCCAGACCTTTGCTGAGTTTCAGGCGCCCACCGGACAATGGAAGTTCTGTCTTGGATGGGCGCTATTTGCAACGTCTTTTACTTTTTGGATGGTGATGTTCAGCCGCCATTATGGTGAGTGCGTAGCCAAGATGCTCTCCATTTGTTCAGAGCTCGATATTTTAAAGCCCTTAAGACCAAGCAAGCAAAGCCTTCTAGACGTATAAAAGTGTCTGTTGATATTGTATGTTGATTAATGTTTTCATTATGACTCCATTTGTTTTAGTATGGGATCCTCTACCCAGTTCCTTCTCTAAGGAATCCCAGAAGGCTCAGTTGCGAAGAATGTTGGAGCTCCGTGTGAACCCTATAGATGGTCTGTCTTCACGTTGGGACTATGATAATGATCGATGGAAGGTAGGTTATATACTTTTTATATTTGTTTACTGAAGGAGTTTTTTTTCTATTTGATAGTATATATAGCAGATAAAAATTAGCTAACAAATAAAATAAAACGGATTTGCACCTCCACATTTAGATTTATAATATATTAAAAATAATGATCTCGAGGTCTCTTAAAAGGACTCATTTAATGGCGACAGCTTTTTGTTTCAGAAATAAATTTCGCTGTGCTGTTAGAAAATACTCTTAGCTAGAACTAATAATATAATATTGTTATTAAACTTTGAATTATAATTAATTTTATTTTGTTGAAGCAACGTGAATGTTTTGTTTCTTTTAATTTTTAAATAAAATTTACTAATCATAAGTTTGTCTCATTAATAATTTCAAAGTAGCTCTATAGCTTTACGATACGAATGACAAAATCGACTTTAACTAGTTGGGCTTTTATTTATTAAAGAGAAAAAAACAAACAAACCAACCACTACAACCACGGGGGAACGAAAACAACATTATAAATACATTTTTTATGATTGACGACGAAAAGCACTTGATGGATTTGATTTTCGGATATCCACAGAGGTAGACCAAATTTCAAATACAAATTCTTTATTCACCAAACTTGTGTACATTTCATTATAGGGTGTGCTAGCCCCCACACTAGGATTCCCTGTGTCGTTGGCGGCTAGACGCTTCCGGTGCATTTCGAGAAAACAATGAAAAATTTAGTATCCACTTATACAGTTGTTATATGCTAAGTATTTAAATAAGATCGATAGTCGTTTAAGCTTTTTCATCAGCTGTGATTCATGAATTAGAATATTCCTACCGCCCATAATCCAGATTTCCAAACAGTCTAGAATATTCCAGAAAAAATGTACATTTATTTTATAAATAATGGCCGCGGTGGGGATCGAATCCAGAACCCGTTGACTATTATTATTAGCCAGTAATTACTACGTGTATACCATTAAACCAAAAGTGACTAGCCCGTTATAGCTATATAATACGGATTTTAAGATAAACATTTAATATTTCATTCTAAAAATGCCTAGTTTAATGATTCACTGAATAGTTATTACCGTTGCCTGCAAACAATACTAAACTTGTTTATAAGATTTCTAACAATTAAGAAACATATATTAATTAGTGGAATAGTCAGACGGCAAATTATGTAACGATAAAGGATATAGTTATCTATGTCCGTCCGTGCGTAACTACGTGTCTATAAAAGGATGTGAGTTTTTCGAGAAAATCAGTGATTTACAACAGTTTTGTTTGTGGTATATTATATTCAATACGTGTAACAATGAAGTGCGCGGTAAGTAAGTCAGATAGAAAATTACGCTGAATAAGAATCGATGACACGGACGGGATTCGAACTACAACGTATTGATCATCCACTTAGAAAGTAGCTTTTATCTACTGAAACATATAAAAAATAAAATATTTCCCAGAGAGGCAAAAATGGTATTGTTTGTTATATTGTATTAAATGGGCACAAAAATGAGTTGTATTTTTTTCAGGTGGCAATAGTTCTCGCCCTTGTGGGCTTATCGGTTGCTAATCCTACACCACTAGGGTTAGGTTTAACCACCCTAGGTAAGTACAAACTATAATTTAGTATTTCTTAATAAATACTTAGTACAAGAACGAATTATTTTATAAACGCTAGGTTTCCGTTTCATAGCTTACCTTTAATATAACACATTTAAAAGGAAATTCCCAATTGAGGTCGCTAGAGCCAGAATAGCCTAACTGCAATAGTATGACTTATTTTTATAGTCTAAAAATGTTAATCTACAAGAGCACAGTGATCGAAAATTGTTAACGTAATTCTTACTTAAATAATAGTAGACACAAATTCATTTTCCTTCTCCTTATTGAAAATCTTTTTGTTATTAGGCCACTCTGGCTCTAGCAGCTTCAATTTAGATGTTGTGGCAGGAACGAGGGGTGGGTCCGAAAATCGTGTCAAACTTGTGACCTAAATATAGCATTCCTCCAATTACTAATAACTCCTTACGAAAATTAAAAAATATGAAACGGTCTAAAAACTGACTGTAGCTTCCCTTTGCAGTGAAGGGAAACATGAAGAAAACAGCACGGTATGGGAGGTTGCGTCACCGAGCGTAACCGGATCTTCATATACGGTTGATCAAGCTTTTCTTTCTTCCACAGCGCACGCGCCGGGGGTGTACACGTCTAGCTTCATCAACCACGGATATTCCATCCCGCGTGTGGTTGTAACCGCCCCGGTTGCCCCCATTATCAAAACCGTTTACACCACTCCAATTGTCTCCCCTATATACGCCCATGGGCATGGCTGGTATCATTGATCTGTCAATAAACTATTTGTCGACTACCGTTGGTTTTATTTCGTCTGACAAAATTGCATTTTATTGAAATGTAGGTATTGTTATTAAATACTGTCTATAGTTTACGTGAGCAGTACACTTTTAAATAAAACACTTTAACGGTTTAAAACGCGATATTCTCCTCGTGACCACGGCTGCTGCAAAGCATCCGAAACGTCGGGCCGTAGTTAAAAATAATTTTCTAATAAGTATATATCGCGTCTGTCATCTTCTACCATAAAAAAATATGTACAACTCTTCGTCTCGATTTTATTTTTAAACATTACAATTTAAAACTAGGTACGCAATCATTCACGATACAATTTGAATTTCACGAGTGTTTTACGATTTGTAAAACATTTCAACGGTTTAAAATGGCTTTGGCGGTACATATATCAATACTACAAGCTCTTATTATATTTAATATAAATATAAATGTTTTAGCCGAAACAGATTCTGATGACAGTGAGTATTATTATTTATATTAGTATTATTATGTATATTACTTTACATAGCAAGTTATAAACAATTAACTTATGTATATTCCTCAACGGTGATAATAGATAAAGGATAGAGAGATCAGCATTTGAAAATATAAGTATACAACTACTTGCATCTGATAGGCTTTGAATTTTTATTAATTAAAATAAACTAAGCCTAGAACTAACGTATAAAGTAATTTGGCGTAAGGCATAAACAAACTGATAAACATAATGATTATAAATATATCCCGTAGTGGAATCAGAGCGTATATTACGCAAGAATATGAAGGCACAAGAATGGCAATATGAAGGTCTCCCTATAGAACTACCAGTTAAATGGTCGAAGGAGCCAGAACCTAAAGCAGCTTCCTGTAAGTTATGTACCTCTTACAGGTCTTCTCCGCTTTACATAGCTCATTAGATCAGCTCAGTTTATCTATACTTACTAATATATAGAGTAAAAAGCTGTAGAGTTTGTTTGTAGATTTGAAAAGTATTCATCGTTGTGAGTTTCCGATGTGTACGCTGCGTAAAGCAAAAAATATATATGAAGGAATGATTCCACTTTAAATGATCTAACGACACTATATACGGCCGTTATACAAAAAATAGTTAAACCAGGTTTAAACCAGAACTGCGGAGTCTTGGTTGACTCTTACGCCATGGTCTATATCATTCTAAGTTAGTACCATACTTAGTCCAGTACAAATTTTAAACTTCGTTTTGTAATACGGATTTCAAATAAACCAGGGTTTAAGAGTTAGTCATTGTTTTGTTACAAGAGTCTATATTTCAAGATTAACTTGCAAGAACGACAGGACCCGACCGACGATGTAGGTAACAGCGATAAAAACAAATTTGGATGGTCAAAAAATCCATTCTACGCGGACGAAGACGGTGACACAACTAGCTGCGTTATATTTATTAAAATAATTGTGTCCGGGACTTCATTCGCGTAAAATAGTTATTTTGCGCAACAAAATTTGCCTTAAACCTCCTCATCTTTATAAATTATAGTTGTTACTAACGCGTCGCGTCGTTGTTGCGTGGTAATATTAAAAGATTGATACATAATGTCGTTTTAGAGCATTCAAAGAGGAATAATTATTTTGTACACATTTATTGTGTACAGAATAAGTATTCGTAACGGTTCAAACCGTTTACGCAGCGTAGGCAATCTAAACCCCTCAAAATTGTATATTTTCCCCGTTTTTTTTTGCACAATGCCCACTGTTTCTTTGCTCCTAATGGTCGCAGAGTGATGTTTTGTAGTCTAACGCCTACCTCGATGAATAGTCTAACCAACACAAAAATAATTTCCCAATTCCAACTAGTAGCTCCTGAGATTAGCACGTTCAAACAAACTCTTCACCTTTATAATGTTTGTGTAGATAAGTCTTTCGTTCGTCACGAATCTTTTAATACCTCGATCATTAAATTTTACCCAGATATGTTAGTGTTATCCTGTTTTTATCCAGTTGTAATGTTTCCATAGTGGATCCTATCGACCGTCGCTATAGACGAATCTACAATGCAGACGAGGTGGCTGCAATTGAAGACTTTCCATTTCTTGCTGCACTGCTGGTTAACAAACAGCTGTGGTGTGGCGCTGTTGTCATTGACACAGACCGCGTGCTTACCGCAGCACATTGTTTGCAGTTGTAAGTTCAGTTTTGTTTATTAAATACTACTGAAATTTGATATCGATAAGTTTAGAAATACAATATGTTAAGCAACAATAGATCTGCTTTAGCTTGTTGGACATTAAAGTACGTAATTGAAATATTTTTTAGAGTTACCTAATTACCCTTGTATAAAATCGTTCAATATCAAGAACTGCATCAATCAGCAAGCAGCCATATTTTATAACTTAACTTTTTGGTGTACCAAATGGTAGCAATATACCGCTAATAATCAACCAATGTTTTTCTAATAAATTTATATTTTTTCTCATCTTGTTTAGATGCTATAGGCTGGGGTATTTTATCTACCATCGAGAGAATCCTATGCTTCTTAGTCCTCCTCAATCATTAACAAGAAAAACTTAATTTCAGACAATACAACAACCGCTTCTTCCGCGAATATGTCAAGATGTTGTCCATCAGAGTCGGTTCCTCAAATGCGACATCTGGTGGCGAAATGTACCGCGTGTCTGAAATATTCTTTCACCCAAACTATAAGCCGAGCACATTGGAATTTAACTTTGCAGTGATTCGTCTGCACAGAAATATATCTAGCGATACGATAGATGCAAACGTTGCAAAAATTGATTATTCTACTGAAAGGATTGTACCAACAGACACTGTTATTACGTTTCTTGGCTGGGGTTCTGTATTAGTAAGTTTTATTACTTAGACCTAATGCAAGGAACGTGGTAAATTTATTCTTTACATTAATTTTTTATCTTTTATAATTTATTAATAAAACTCCTTTACCGGTTCAAAATACAAAATGTATTAGTTAAACTCATTAACAAGTATTCCTATTTATCAATTTAATACATTTAGATTATAACATAATTTTATCTATACTAAGGGTGTTGGTGGACTGGGTGGCCAAGTTTTGCTTCAAAAATTGGAGTTGCCAGTTTACGATCTAGCCGATTGCCAAGAGATTTATGGAAGGTACGGTAATAATTTTATAAAACTTTAAAGACTTGCAAATTAATGATAATGTTAATATAAAACATCCTTTTTTAATAGGGATTTAGTCACCAGGACAAATTTCTGCGCTGGGTACATAACAAAGGCGAAAAATGTTTGCAATGTAAGAGATATCTACTATCCTTTGAAATACTATCAAAGCATAATAGAATCCATTCACTCATCTAAATAGTCACTAGCGTAAGCACGTGATTTCATTATTTTATAGTTTATATGAATAGTATCAACACTAATGATTATTTACATTTAGCACGACGCTGGTGGGCCCGCTATTCTTAACGGACAACTGGTAGGTATACTGTCCTTCTCCTCCAAACGGTGCGATCTACCAGATCAACCAGCTGTCTTCTCTGCCGTGGGAACAGTAGCCACGTGGTTGGAAAATCTCGGCGAACACACCATTAAGCTAACGTAAGTACATATACCTAATAGCTGTGCCAGCGACTTCGTCCACGAGAATCGTTATTTGGGGCATCTAAATTCGTTTTTGAAAGCCCCTTCATCTTTATAAACTTAAGCTGTTACCCACAACGTTGTTCTCGTTCCTTCCCGTCATTCCTGCAAGTTATTCTTAAAAAATTGTCCTCTTTCATACATATTTTTTGGGTATCTTGAACCGTATTTGCAGCGTACGCATCAGAAACCCATAATGATGAAATTTTCCTAAATTTGCCCACATTTCTCGGGGTATCTTCGCTTGTATTACGTGTTGTCACAGGGCGATGTTTTAAAGCCTATAACACTCCTCGATAAATGCTCTACTAACACTAAAAAATTCTATTCGAACCCGTAGTTCCTGTGATTAGCGCGTTCAAACATACAAACTTCAGCTTTATACATTAGTATAGATTTGTAAATGTACTATATAAATAATATATTTTGTGATCAATTTACAGAAATACTGAAATAAAATACCCGGACTGGACCAACAAACAGGAATAAAACAAGAACGATTGTTAAATCAATAATATATTTCTCTAATACTGTACACTCGCAATCATTAGACTACTCTGTAACAAGAAATAAATAAAAACATTCCAAAGTAGCATTTTAAATATATATTTCTATTCAACATACAACATTGAATAACATACAATTTTTGTTTCTCATCGGTCTTCCAATATTATATTTTTTATGGAATGATATCGAGCTGATTTACTATAAGATTAAAATTCTGTGATTAACAGTAACAGGCAACACCAAGCTTTATGTACAGCAAATGGCGCCGTTTTCGAAAGTAGGCGCAAAATTTGACAATGCACCGAATGGCTACAGATAACAATAAAGACTATAAACTGTGCTTGTTATTAAGCAATTATTTGAGGCGAACAGTTAGTGCTTAGTCTATGCGGTAGTTAACGTGTAACTCGGGTTTGATGTCATACACCAGCTGAAGAATATCTTGGATAACCTAGAACAATAAAAAAAACAATTATTTTATCTTCTATGGAAGAAAATACCATTGTTACATGATTGATAATATATGAATATTGATGTAAGTTTTACGAGACATGATTAAAGTTAAGAATATTTTCTTACCACTTCCTGTTGGGTCTGGACCATTTTGTTCATCTCCTCAATCTTCACCTTGGTCTCTGCTTCGATTTTAGCAGCAACACCTTCCCTTGTACCCATGTGCTTAAAAAATAACAATTATTATTTAGCAGAGAATGACATAATTATTATGCAACCTTACAGCACACCTTTCACATTTTTTGTTCTGATAAACAAAATTCTTTAAAATATTTATCTTTAGAGAAACTTTGAACATTTCAAAGCTATGAGACATAGTCCTAGAAAATTAGTGAAGGACCAGTTATTATTGATAGAGGCGTAAGGGATTATTATTGAGTAATATTATGTTCTAAATAAGAAATTAAGCCTGCAACTCATATTTTCAACCTTTTAATGGCCTACAGTTGTTTGTAGGTCTCATTTTACATTGAACAGATCAGTATGCATCTTTGTATCATAGCAGGGGCAATGATGATACAAAGAGAAATAAAATTTATCCACAGGTTTCATGATAACAAAAAGAAATACATTAATCTTAAAAACATAATTCACCTTTCATTTCATGATGTTTTCTTACGTTATAAATATAACAATACACTAAAATTACCTTGGCCTCAAATTCTTTGAATTGCCTCTCTCGCTCCTGTCTGTACTTTTCCACTTCATCCTGAGCCTCTTCCTTGGCTTGCTTTAGGCGTTTCGCTTTTCCTATAAACACAAAGCAATCATTTACATAACATAACTACATATGAGGTATCTAATTGTCTAAATAGTCTGCATAATGTCAAATGATAGTGGGTTAAAATATAATACTACTTCAGTTATGATACTATTTCGCTAAAGGTGTCAAGACACCTACCTACCACCTACTATTAGTACTCATTTAATAACTCTTAAGGTAAATCTCATCTCCTCAAATTATATAGTAACAATTTGTAATAAGGTTCTTTGGCAATAACTATTTATCTATTTATAGACAGTTGATTTACGCCCTACTCTTATATCCAGTTAAATACAACAAAGTACATCATGTGATGTTAAAATGGTCAATTTTTATTCGTTACACTGCTAATTAAGAACTATAAGACAGTTCAAACACCTTTATATCTAGAAATTGTATGTAACTTATATTGAAACATCTTATTTCCATGAAGTTGTGTCGAAGGCAAACCAAAGAAACAAAGTTAACCAGATCATCGAAATGCAATAAAGTAATACGTACGCTTTCTCGCCTCTGATACTTTTTCTGCAGCACGTTTTTCAGCTGCCAGCAACTGCTGGATCCCCTGTGTTTGACTTGCCATTTCAGAGGATTTACACAAAAACTATGCGACGGCAAACGGGACCAAGGCGCAAATCAATATCAGAAGGAAAGATGACGATTGCGAGTCATATGATTACTTTAGTTCCTGTGTGTTGTCACGAATGGCGCTGTCAGCGGCTCGTGCAAGGCTTAAGTGTGTGTATTGAAACGGACTTAACACCGTACACATAAGAAACAGTAATAAATGTTTTTTTTTAATAAAATCAATAAATAATAATTTTAGATAATATAGAAGAGTAAACTTTCTTTTATTTAATATAGTAAGGCAAAATGTAAAACCCAAAACTACGTTTGTATATTTTGCGTGAATTGAAAAGTAAATTTATAGTGACAGTATATTATAATTACAATATACCTTTACATATTCCAGATGGCGCTATTTACAGTAATTTTATAGTTGCTATTATATGAATATACAAATTGAATCATTGTCTGTGGTCAGTAATCATTTTAATAAAGATGTAGGTATAATATTTATATTATCGATGTAATTTTGATATGGTATAATATACCATTGTTACCATACAACTTGTTCGCGAAATATATATTATATATTTCGCGAACAAGTCGTCGTCAATGCCTTGTGTTTTTAAGCGTCAAGTGTGTTTTAGGCGTTTCTTATCGCCATTAAGAATGTATTTGCCATAATTTTGTACCATCTGGTTGTACAGATATAATTAGTTTTAATTATCTACTAATGGCCAAACAAACCGATAATGATGGTGATAAATAATTATTAAGATATAAATCTCTCTTTAGCACAAAACTATTTGTGTAATTATTTACACCCAAATGGGATATAAGCTAAAAATTAAATTAAAATAAACTTAAAAAACAACTTCACTAATTAGGAATTATTATTGCATGTTATATTTTTTCATACAGTATTCCAGGTACATCTGGAATAATTATTTTAAGTATTCAAGTAAAATCAAAATAATATATTATTTTGACTATGTGGTTTTTAAAAACGTTGAAATGTACGTATCTACTTCATCAACTTCATCTTACTCATTAACCTAATATTGTGTTAAAATTTTATTAATACTTAATAAGCATTCTTTCAATAATAAATAATGTATATTGATTGTTAGTATTATGGTATTAGTACTATGTAGTATCAAGTATTATATCTTGCGCTTAAATTTAGCACAAAGGTCTTCTGAATTCTCGCGCCACTTTTTAATCACTTATCTAATTAAGAAGACTATATTATTATATAAATGTAACAGTAATATATTCTAAGAATAGTGCTTATTTTGTGTTACAATATTACTATAAATTATGGCAAAGAAGTAGTTTGTTAAATATAATAAATACAAAAAGTAAACTAGTACATCGACTACGTCATTAGTTTTTTATCTCTTTCTTTTTCCTTGAGTAATATGAGAGAGCACATACAAAACAAATTATGAGGTAGGACGCTACCACGAATATTTCTAGCAAACAGTTACATTGCTTATTTAATGAATAAAACAGGTAGTATGTTCTTAGAGACCCAGCAATGTACACTAAATTAATTTAAATATCGCTTTTCTCCCTCGGCGTATGTGCTATTCTCGTTCGGCGAGCGTCACGTCACAGTTTCTTTATCATTTCGGTGCCAAACTTAACGTAGTATGGCCGTCGTCGGGAAGTATTCAGTATTTTACTTCCACAAAGAATACGCGATAAACATATCACAGAGCGAATTACGAAAAACTTTTTTGAATAAATTCTTCACGCGTGTGAGATAAACAATAACACAAGTGTTCAATTGTAATTTATTAACGTTTCGAGACCCATTTTTCGGTTTTTGCCAATATTAAAAGCAAAATGTGGTTAATAAGCCAGCCTAATTCTGTGATTTTGGAAGTTAAGGTGGACAACAACGCTATTGGGCAACAATTATTGGAAAGGGTGAGTTTTTTTTTACATGTTTATCGATTTTAATATATGTGGTCTGCGTGATATAAACGGTTGTTTCAACTATCGTTTGTTTTGTTGTAAATAATTTTTTAAATCAGTGCGATGTCATATGGCAGAGCACGTTGAGCATCTGGCAAACAAAGAGCACTAAACACCGGTTTCTCGCAAAAGAAATTTAGTTATAGTGTCATAGTTATATATCAGAAATGTATCGATAGAATAGAAAACGTGTTATGTAGAGTTTGCAACGTCACACCGTTTACCTTGTGGACTTTGGACTTAGTATTGTTCGCGTTTACCTCTACTGTTACGCGACTGTCGTTATACGAATTTTACATTATCGATACACAATATAATCAGATAAAATAGGTCGGTACGTATATCATATAAGGAACAGCGCTCACTTAACGTTCGTAATCAACATGAGATTCTATTGAGCTAAGTTAAATATTAATGGTTATATGGTAATTGAGTAGGGTAGTAAGTACATGTGGTGCTTAAATTATTATTAGACATTAATCACTAATAAGACAATGTAATATTAATACCATTAACCAAATAATACGCAAGAAGTTCACCTAACAAAACTTACGCTTCATCCAGGATAAACGCCAGTCTTATTTGTAATTTGTTACCTTTATAATAGTTTTATTCGTCAACTGTAAAAACCGACACGCTCTCTCATCACTATATTTTATCTTCTTAGAAGCCTGCCTACTTGCTTACGATGCATAGGATTTTTCATTGCGCGCTAAAAATCTCTCGTTTTGATATCAAATCGAATTGGGTTTGATACTAACTGGCACTTTGCCATTGCATTATAAAACGAATCTGGGGCATTGAAATTTGTTGGTATTCAAATACAAAATATCTACATTCCTTAATAATTTTATTGAAACTATGTATCTACTATCGTTAGTAACAATTCTACTGCTAATAGGTAATTGCTTAGTACCTTCTTAAAATATACTTAAGAGCTAAGATCACACAAATCATTATTTAAAGTACTTTTGTATTTAAGCAAGTGTTTTTCAATTGAATTTTTTTAATTTCATTCATTAGCTTCTAGTGTAAATAAATCTGAAAGTAGTATACAAAAAAAATATTTAATAATCAAATCATTCATTCTTTCTGATCTGAATAATTCAAAATTTATGATAATGAGGAATTAAATACGTATGTAACATATACATATGTATAACATTTTTACACATACAATAAAAATCTATTTAGAATGAAAAACTTGACGACTTGTCAAATATTGACGATTCGTCAATATGCAAGCGACTAAAAGGGAACCGTAATTTACAAACGATGTTAACAGTTATTAAGTCAGTCCTTTGTTTTGCTTGCGCAATATAAAAAGGAACAAACATGCATGTGAAGATTCGACTGTTTATTTTTTTCGTTCTTATAAATAAGACAGTGTGTCAGTATTAAACATTTTCTACTAACTACAATAAAGTATATAAGCATCTTAAATGAAATGAGATCAAAAATGTTTATGCAAAGTTGCAAGTCGGTATATTGGACTATCCAATAAGGTTTATTTGTCCCCTTTAGACCCACCTATCCGAAAATTATACCTTCGTCATTAAAAGAACCCATGCTTCAAAGCTACGTCGGTGAGTCAGCCAAGAGAAAGCATTTTTTATGTTAAAAACAAAAATAGTTTTATGTTAAAACCATTATAATAATCGTAATAAGATCACTGGTCTCCAGGTTATTGAACGGTAGTTGTTACACTAATTCAACGGTTGTGGACTAGCTAATTAGTTAATTACTTAATTAGCTACCCACCCACTTAATATTATGATAATAAATTGGCAGGTAATGATATACAGCGAGACATCTAGTATCTTCTTACTCTTCTTATGGTAATAAAACTGACTACGAATAATAAAATTTGAAATAAAATCCACACAAAATCACAAAGCAAAAACCGTGTAGTCAAAGAGAGGAAATGTAATTAATTGTAAGATTAGAATTTGTTCTCGATCAGAGTTCCTTATAAGAATTTTCTTTCGATTTTTGAAAATAACGCGCAGTCAAGTTAATAATGAGGCAAAGCTTTCACTTTTTAAACAAACTATTATTATTGTTTAACCTTTTAGAATAGGTGCAACGTAAGATGATCCTTAAGCGTAACAGGGCATCTCGCATTTTCCTGTACCAAGATATAGACGTTAGAGGATCACGCACTGTGCACGTGGGGACCGCATGGTACACGCGAGCTGACAGCTTGTAGTTTGTATAGCTTGGACTTTGTACCCTCTCACAATCACCGCACCGGTGTGTGACGCACCGTGCTAGCTAACACATCGCCTTGCACTTAATAATAGGCCTTGGTAACAAACAAGCAATGTAAAGTCTGGGCATAGATAACGAAATTTCTTCTTGAGAAGGACATTGTCTGACCAATCCATTATCCCTAATTAATTAGGCAAATAAATCACCGACTCTTAGTCTACAGTCTTATTGTTCGCAACATGGCGAAATTATCGAAAAATATTATTTATTTTATTCTGAATATTTAATGAGTGTTTTATAAGCCTGTAGATATTATTCGTAAGTTAAACTTTTAATTTAATGAATTATATAATATAATTAATGGGCTAAGATCATAATTTCCATCTTTGCAAATTCAACAACAATTTTAGTTTTTGTAATAAATAATAATAGATGTATTGCACAATAATAATAATTAATTGATTATACAAAAAAATATTAACTAGCAGAAACCTAATTTTATTATTTTTGATACGCATTTGCTGAGTACGTTAGTTATACTTGCTGACTGCATAAGCCACCTAGATAATGCACTTTTTATTTTATTCATAGACAATTTTGTGTTCTATGCTGTTTAGTTTCACCGTGGACTTTGTACTGTATTGTTGGTGATGATGACGTGATCACCCCAGTCAAGTAGTCCAAATAAAAAATAGCGTTTGAAGGCGAGTCTCAATTATTAGAGTAACATCATGGTACAAAGTCCAAAGCAATTTGAAAGTTGAAACAGTCAGACCCAATTACTCAGTGCAATTAGAATAGCCTAGATTTTTTTTTCACGAACACCTTTATGAAATTCGAAAAGTTTCACTTTCAAAATATCACATTGTTTCGCATTATAAATAAAATATTTTTCATTTTATTAGCTTAAATTTCTAAAAATAGAATTATATAACATTCGCGTTTGTTTCAATACTTAGATGGACACGCACATGTCTGGCTTCAAGATTAAAGCCTAATGCGATTTAGTACTTACTTGCGTCTTAACACAAAACAAGGTAATTTTATTATTGCGCAATATCTGTAATTCCTAAGGTTGGAATTAACTATTTTTTATACGGTCTCTAATAGCACTATACACGACGTCTACATGTAGCATTTCTAGTGATATTTTAAACCTTGATGTAATAATACGAAATTTCATCACGCAACGATCGTTTAAACTGTGGACTTTGAGCTCGGTTCCTTAAAACATCATGCTGTAATCATGTTTTCTTAGTACGGACATTACAGTCTAGAACGTGATACAGTGAACATGGGACAATGATTAATTACAAGACTATTAGAAACTGGTCTTTGAACCGTTTGACGTAAGCGGAACCGGGGTTTTTCACTTCACCGTTAAATGTACATCCTTAGCGAAATATTCGCAATAGAATTTAGTAAATTATATTATAGCTAATAATGACAATAATTACAATGATAAATCATAAGTAATAGCAACTGAACACGGCATAAAGATGATAATTATGCCGTGTATTAATATGAATTGGGATTATTTCAAGTATTATTAATTTAGATAAAATGCTTATACGTTTTGCATGTGTAAATTACTTATAGATAGCTATTCATTTAGGTATTCTAAATAATAATTATTTTGAGGTGCGATTTTAGGAATCTTTAATTTTGAATAAAAATACATTTTAATTTATTTGTATTAGAATAGCTACACATCAGAAATTACAAATATAAGCGTAATGCACTGTAGATTGATATGTCTAAAAGAATTTAATAAGTACTGATGATATTTCAAGAGGAGAAGAATCTAAAGAAAAGTTACTACGTGTCAGAGAGCACGGTTCTGCCGGCTGAATATAGACCTTGGCTTACATTACAACGATTTTCCAAGCAACGTTAACGGCCTCAACTGCAGCTGAGTGCAATCTGTGTAACGCAGTGTCTACCTACTTTGCGTCAAGGATTCGAGAACATCGAGATGGACTTAATTTATCGTGTTCTTTTTACAAAAAAACACTTTTAATTTAGCGGGGTATTTAAAGCTATAAGTTTAAAATTATTTTAAAAGAATTTAACATATTCATGCAATTCAATCTACATGTTCAATTTTAATTTACTTTACCAAAATGGTAATTTAATGAACACTCGTTGAACTTTGTTCGATCGATTCAATATTATTGATAAAAATTTTCTTGATAAGCCTTTCCCTGACCATCGCGTTTAGAGCATAAATATAAGTTAATATATTAAAATCTCAATCTCTACAAACAATGATTATAAAGCGTAAGTTTTAAAGCAAAAAGGTTTGGAAGTATAAATTACATGTAACAAAAAATTCTAAAGTAAAAACGCCGATATAAAGCATTTGTTTAACAAGATAAAAAACGTTTGACCGCTAACAAAAGAAAGGTTAAGCAAATAATGAAAAATATCAGCGATGATATCATAGGAAATGTTAAAAAAAACTTATTTTAAATAAAGTATATGTTAAGATAACACTCAACTGAGGGTTCACATCAATGAACTTTGATAATGAACGGTTGAACTCTTGCAAGTTTTACGGAGAAATAAGCGTTATTACAAAACATGGAGAAAACTATAGTTGTTACCATTTAAAATGTTAAGGTAATTTACCACAACAGCGTAAATCGGTATGGTATCAATCATTATTTAGCAATAATTTGATAACGAAATCCAAAATAACTGTTACGTACAAGTCAATTGTATAATGACGATGACTTCTT